GAAAACAGCCTGAGAAGATGCTCTGGTCTTTGACTCGGGATAGAAAAATATATACATATATACAGTATATAATTAATTAAAATTTTTAAAAAATCTTAGGAAAATGCGAAAAAGCTAAAGACAGAGCATTCTCTTCTTATGCTGAGAATATGAATTACTTTAGGTTGATATTTGACTTAGATTTAAATTCATATATATATTTAAATACGATATGATATGTAATAATAATATATGTTGTTGGACAAAGGGATCTATGTGCATGTTGCCATTTTTTTGTCATTTCATGACTGCTGTGACTTTTCTGTGCTGCTCACTGTTTTATTTCATCTCCAAAAGTGTAAAAATGTTTTTGCAAAATGTGTCCTTAACAAGCCTTTTGCTGCACGAAACATGAATATTTTGTGTTTTCTCCCCTTAATTTAAACTCTTCAGGCTTACAGTCGTATTCTTTTTGTGGCAAAGCCCCCAAACTACCAGCAGCTTCCCCCAGAGGGACGCGGGGGTGGGGGGGGGGGGCAGATGTTTGCACTTCTGTTGCATCTGGCAGCTCCTGCTGAAGTCAGGACATTTTCCTCTTCGGTTAGAAACAGTAAAATCTGATTTAGAAGTGGAGAACTAGAGGAAAGAAAAAAAGAGAGAGAAGCTGGACCTAATTTGTGGAAATGAAATCCTGCTGCTGACTGCCAGATCTGGTTATACCACGCTGACATTGGTCCAAAATCTGACCTCTTGCTAAATACGACCCACTTTTTTTTCTTTTTCTGACAAATAATTGAAGAAACACTAAGTTTGAGTGTGTTTATTTATTGAGTCACATGCGTTGTGTTTAAGAATAAAAAAAATTTTGTTTGTTTTTTTTTATTTAAAAAAAAAAGTAATAAAAAAATGTTTTATTCATTTTTAATTTTAATTTAATTTTTTTTATTTTAATTTTTTAATTTTTTAATTTTTGTATTTTTATTTTTTATTTTTTATTTAAAAATAATAATAGTAAAAATAAATAGATAAATAAAAATAACTATTGTTGATGAGAAAGAGTTTTAGAAATGTTAAAACATATTCAGGATCTGCTTGTTTTCTCGGTTATTTCCATATTTCTCAATGAAGCCTGCTGGTGTTCGTGGTTGAATTCGTGGTTTCCTTTTGGGTGGCAGGACTTTGTGACAGCTGCAAAACCGTAAAAACCACAGCTGCTAGACATCCGATAATCACCATTCCTGTTCAACCCTGCCGTTGACTCATTTGAATTCATCTCCCAAGAAAACACGCCACCACATTTTTGGTGGTGATTATCGTCCTAATCCTAACACCTTATTTCTGTTTGATGTGTCGCCACATTTCCTCATATTTGGATCCGATTTCTGAAGCAGGCTTCATTGTGAGTGCGTTTGATTTGATCCACATTATCCTTATAGGAGACTTGTCGGGTGGCTAATTGAAGAAAAAGGCTCTGTTGTGTTGTGTTGTGTTGTGTTGTGTTGTGTTGTGTTGTGAGCAGTGTTGGGGAGTAACGGATTACATGTAACGACGTTACGTAATTTAATTACAAAAAAAGAGTAACTGTAATTCGTTACAGTTACAATGAGAAAATATGTAATTCAGTTACAGTTACTTCCGAAAATATTAAGAATTACAAATTTTGTTACATTTTTAAAAAAATATAAAGAAAAACCTTTGCAAAATATGCAACTCACTGATAGACGAAGCGTATTGATTTACTAATATTTGCCTGTTCGGTGTTGATGCATGACGGACGTTTATCGATCTCTATGACCTAGCCTAGCCTAGCCTAGCCTACCCAACTGTAGGGTGACCAGACGTCCTCTTTTTCCCGGACATGTCCTACATTTCAGACTAGGGTTGTCAAAAGCATCGATACTTAAAAAAGTATAGATACTAAAATGTTGTATCCGGATACGACTGACCTGCCGTCGCTGCGCCCCTTGTCTCCGATTTATTTATGTATTTATTTACGTTGTTTATGGTCATTAACAAGACGTTAGCCTTGAACTGCTAGCTGCGGCCAATAGCTAATAATAACATGCTAAAATTAATCATGGGTTAATACTCATTAAAACCTTAAAGTAATCAAAAAGTAATCCAAAGTAATTAGTTACATTACTTTTTAAAAGTAATCGAAAAAGTTACACTACAATTACATTTTAAACAAGGTAACTTGTAACTGTAACGGATTACATTTTTAAAGTAACTTACCCAACACTGGTTGTGAGGCCTTGAGAAATGCTTTTGTGTGCAGCGTTTTGGCCACCTCTCTGTTCCACAGTCACATGGAAAAGGGGTTTACTTTGGGTTTTTTGGCATCCGTTTAGCCGTTTAGACACCTTTAGCTGCTGTTAGGCCTCAGCTCAAATGAAAATGTGGACTTAATGAGCTGATTTCCAGTCACACCTTCAGCTCTCAGGCAAAAGAAAAACATTTTTTGGTTGTGAAACAGGACCTGGTTTACAGTGTGTCTCATCTACCGCGTCTGTCTTTGTTGGATTTTTTTCTTACGCCCTAAAAATATCGATTTAAGACAGTTAGATAGTTTTTTAGACCTGCTGTTATTTTTTATTGTATTTTATTTGCATCAGACACGCTTCAAACCAGCTGAAACAGGCCATGTTTTTGACCAATAGGTGTTTTAGAATGACTTTGTTGGTGCAAAGAGTTTTATCTTTGCCAGTTTTTGGACATGGAATAAACAAAGTGAGAACAAACTATATAACTATATTGTAACAGGCTAACAAAGTGATATCAGTTAATTTACTTTAAGATCTAATATATGAGACATGTTTTAAGGGCTTAGTTAAACCACTTTTTATTCTATAGAACTATTGCTACTTTAAAAGATAATAAAAGAACATTTCTCTGCTCTGAAGAAAAACTATTTAAAAAATGACCAGTTGCTCAAAAAGTGCTGTTGGTTTTGTCACATATGTTGTTTATAGGATTCCCTGTCTATAATATTTAACTTACTATGTGAAAGTATTTGATCCTATAAAGTTTGTGCATACTAAAATATGACCATATATTCATTAAACTTTAGAGTTTAGATAAATGTGCATACTTTTCTCTCTTTAGCACCAGTAATATTTCCTTCTGTACAATGGATGGTCTTTTTTTATCAAAATTTTTACTATCACTTTTTCATATTCTATGTCTTTAAGCCGCTATTAACTATAAAACAAACAATATCATAAAAGTTATCCTCAAACAAAATGATCATTGTAGATACAATGAAAGCTTTTCTTTTACTTTGATACACCAGTCAAACACAACTTTTCATCACTAAATGATACTGATCATCTGATTTTAGGGGTAATTTGTGTTTTTTTTACCAACTTAAGTTGTACCCAAAAAGGATTCGACACTCTTGACACGTCCGTTTGTTTTTCCTTCTAAAAGATAACTTTGCATAATGGATGTTAAAGTCCTTTGTCAGTATTTCTCTGTGAACCAGATTTACTTTGCAGAGAGTTTCTCTCAACAGTCCTTCTCTCTTAAAATGACTAAGACTGCAGAACTGCTTCTTCCCAAATCTCCAGCGATGAGGAAAAACTGAAGTGTTTATGCTAACATAAGAGCCCGTTAAGCACGAGGCTCAATTGATCAGAATTGATGGTTTATTTGGTCGCTCCAAGGCTGAAGTGGCCCGTACTTTTGTGGGACTGAACTTTTCTTTTTTTTGTTCCAGCAGGGCTTTTAGCCTAAACTTTCCTCTGATAAGTTCAAATTAAGAGAATGAGACTCTTTAGCTCAATAAGATAATTTGGCAACTTTCTATAAAAAGAAAAACAAGCCAAAACTCCCGCCAAAAAATGGGTAAAAGTGTTTTTGTTTTGCATTTCTGAGGAAAACAAGCCAAAACCCCCGCCAAAAATTGGGTAAAAGCGTTTTGTTTTTGTATTTCTGAGGAAACTATAAGTGCTCAGAAGAGTTTTGTATGTTTTTTCCAGCTGGACTTACTGCTGGAGCTTGTGTTTACGGCAGCAGGATGCTGGAAATGGGAATGACCCACAGTAAACTCCTGGCGTCTGTGGTTATGTTGGAACATTTTGCCCAGTAAATCACCATCGCTGGCTTTTGGGCCGTGGGTTAAAAAACCAGCTATCTGATCCGTCTCCACTTTGGCTGAGAGGATACAGCAACTTTATTTCCACAAAGAATTTACGATTATGGTTTGCCAGACCACAGGACAATTTTCCAGTTTGACTCAAACCGACTTTAAATTAGCTTTGGACTCGAGAAGGTGCCATTGTATCTGGATGTTAGCTGTATTTGGTTTTTCTTGCTACTTTCAGCATTGCAGAGCTTACAGTTTCTGGCTGTTCTCGGTATTAAGGGTTTTTAGACTGTTTCGCAGCCCATGCATTGATTTCCATTGTGATGGTTTCTGCTTTTAATGCAACACAGCTCGGTATTGGTTTTCATTGTTCTTTATACACAGCCATAAAATCCCCACATACTTTACGATTTTGTTTATTTGTAGAAAAGTTATTCTAAGATTGCTAAGCTCTTTGCCTCCTTGTCGGTTTAAAGTGTGGCGGACTCCTCTCTTTTAAAAAAAAAAGACCTTTAGAAACCTAATAAATAGTGAGATGTCACAAGTGTCTCACAGCAACATGTTGCATCAATTTCTAAATTAGCAGATTTGTATCACCGTTTTACAACATGTAGCCATGGAAACGGGTAATAAGTCGGCATCCGAACACGGAAAAAGTTCTGTTCTGATTCTTCTGCCTGAAATCCAGAGCTGTGTTTGCGTTTTGACACAGATCAGCAAACTGTTTCTTTATTATTTGCAGTTCGACTTTTCTCAGTTGGTTAATCACACGGAAAAGTGCAGCTTGCATATTTTAACGCATATTTTAATGAGTTTTTGCTTCTCAGTCAACTTGGTTTTTTTCCAGAACTGATTCAGAACCGTGGTTTTTCTCACGTCTTCATGTTTCTGAATGTGTCTGACCTCTTTGTGATTACACACGTGTTTCTTTCAGCTTTCTGCTGGTGTTCAGCTGCTTGGTGCTGTCCGTGTTCTCCACCATCCCCGACCACCAGAAGATGGCCAACCAAGGCCTCTTCATCCTGGTAAGCCCTCCTCTTCCTCTCTCTCCGCTCTCAGCCACACTCACACATATGTTCTCACACAGTCTTCTGTATCAGGAGGATCAGGAGGCGTTGTCGACTTTGCAGGAAATCACAGCCATGATCCACTAATCTTAATAGCCATCCCATAATCTCCCCTGCTCTCCTGTGCTGCTGCTTTAGAGAAAAGTAATGGACACTCTGCCTCTCCTCCTTGACCTGACTCAACCATCTCTTCCCACCTTTCTGTTTTTTATGTGTTATTTAATGGTGGTGCTCTGGACAGCGTGCTCTTTGGATCAATCGCCCTCCCATTAGCGGGCCATTGGCTTCACTCGCGTTTGTTCTAATGAGGAATTGGGTTAGTAAACCTGCACAGCCTGTGAGGTTTTGAAACACAAGAAAACAAAGACATGAGTGTCAGTTATTCTGTCATTCCTTTTTTAATCGGCCCATCTTTTGTCTATAAATGTTTATATTCAGAAATGCATGTAATAAATTCAGTGAAAAGTCAAAAGAGTATGCTGTATTTTTTCCAATTTTTGGGATGATGATGATGAAAAAAAAACTGACACAAGCTACCAATTGACAGCAAACTAGAATAAATAGAAACCTGTTGGTTACTTTGGTTGAATCATCTGACAAGTCGTTCTGTAAGAGCAGATGTGGTCGTGTCCAGGTGGAAAAAAAAGCAAATATGAATGCATAATTAGCTTTTATTGATCCATTCATTCATTTATATACACATATTCATGTAAAAAATCTGTTAAAATAGGAATTTAAACTATCTTAAGTCTTGTCTATGGAGTTTCTTTATATCATTATCTACCTGTTATTTAGCACATTAAGGTTTCTTGATATGAAATTTTTCCTGGACCAGGATTTTTCCCAACAGGATTAGATTCAAATTTGCCATTCTGTTTGCTTCCCCATGTTACACAGCTTCTGTGGGTTGTTAGGAGCCAACACTGGATCTGACTGAGGTTCAAGGATACAATACACAACCAGAGCACGCACATCTTATCATCCCCGGGCAGCTTTGTTTATCAGCAGCCTGCTTTAGTTTGACTTAACTCTAAATGTGTCAGTCATTTAGAGATTAAACGTCACCATTTCAGAAATATTTAGACCAGTGATTGATGACGGAACCAATTGGAAACTGGTCACTGAGGGAACAAAGCCATTGTGTGATAGTGTTTTGTAGTTATCTTTTTTCCGGACACACAAAAAAGTGCAGGTTTGCAGCAAGAAATGGAAAAATAAATGGAAAAATCCCAACCCATGAAATGCCAAAGCTGCATTTTGCAGCTTTCTGTTACACAAAACAGCTGCTGAGGCAGATGGCCGCCCACCCTGAGCCATGGTTCTGCTCCAGGTTTCTGCCTGTTAAAGGGAAGTTTTTCCTTGCCTGTGTCGCCTAGTGCTTGCTCATGGTGGGAATTGTTGGGTTTCTGTAGTTAACTTCAGAGTAGGGTCTGACCTGCTCTGTTTGGAAAGCGCTGTGAGACAACTGTTGTTGTGATCTGGCGCTATATAAATAAAATTGAATTTAATTGAATTGAACTGACAAAAGTGTGTGTGTGTGTGTGTGTTTTGCAGGAGTTTGTGATGATTGTGGTGTTCGGGCTGGAGTACTTCATCCGGGTGTGGGCGGCCGGCTGCTGCTGTCGGTACCGAGGGTGGCAGGGACGCCTGCGATTCGCCCGCAAGCCGTTCTGCGTCATAGGTCTAACGCAACTCACCGCCTTTTATTCTTATTAACCCTTTAAAGCCAAGAATAAAACAATCCATCCACCCATTATCAATACCGCTTATTCCCTGATGGGGTCGCGGGGGGAACTGGAGCCTATCCCAGTCCAAGAATAAAACAAAACAGAAAATTACTTTTTTTCGGTTTGAAGTCTTTATTTGGCCTTTTAACAAAATATGTATAAAGAAAAAACAGAAATACTTTTTTAATAAAAATAATAATTTACAGTGGGGGAAATAAGTATTTGACCCCTTGCTGATTTTGCAGGTTTGCCCACTTACAAAGAATGCTTATTTTTCCTCATCAGATGGTTATCAATTTTTATAAATTCATATGATGTGATTTTCTGGAATATTCATTGGGATTCTGGCTTTCACTGTTAGAATGTACATATGATTAAAGTTATAGATCGTTGCATTCTTTGTAAGTGGGCAAACCTGCAAAATCAGCAAGGGGTCAAATACTTATTTCGCCCACTGTATTACTATGCGATAAGTCAAGATTATTTTTTGTGTAGTTTTCTGCCCCCTGTTCTCAGGTGTATCTGATTGTGTACAATTGGATTTTGAGCAAAGTTTTTACCATTAAATGATGCAAAAGGTGTCAGACGCAAAACATTACAGAAACATTACGTATCAAATATGACACATTTTGCATTACAGGGTTAAAAAGTTTTGAAAAAACTAAAAACAGGTCAGCTTATAGTGTCTGTCTTACAGACTTTATCGTGTTCGTGGCCTCCCTGGCGGTGATCGCCGCGGGGACGCAGGGCAACATCTTCGCCACCTCGGCGCTGCGGAGCATGCGCTTCCTGCAGATCCTGCGCATGGTGCGCATGGACCGGAGGGGCGGGACCTGGAAGCTGCTGGGCTCAGTGGTGTACGCCCACAGCAAGGTAGGGGACACCTTTTTCTCTTCTGTCTTACAATGGAGACTAAGCTTGTGCTCGCTCATAATGAGGACATCAGTCGGAAAGTGGCTTGTTCACAATTAAAGTGAAAAACTGCCACTATTAGACTTAGACTTAGAGACTTAGACTTGTACTTTATTGATCCCTTGGGAAGACTTCCTCAGGAAGTTAAAGTTACCAGCAGTTTACAGGGCAAAAAAGTGACACAAAGAGAGCAAAATGCAAAAAAAATACAAATTAAGTACAGGTAAGGATAAGTACAGGTAAAAATGAGAATATAAATACAAAGTTAAAAAAAACAACCCCTAAATCAAGCAAAATTAAGGAAAGAATAAGAATATAAATACAACGTGAAAATAAAGACCCCTAAGAAAATATAGGAGTTTGGCGGATAGATTGACCAGTGATGTGGTTTTGCACTATGTGGTTTGGCCCGATAAATATGGCGTACACATTTAACAGAAAAACATAAGCGTTATTACTCCTTCCTTCTTCCCTCTGTCCTGTGTCACCAAAAAGTGGAAAGGAGAGGGCTTCTGATGGCGATCATTAAGATCCCTGATTGGATTATTAGCTTTATCAAATGGATGATGCCTCACAGGGACCTCTCAGAAATCCTCAAACTTTATTTAAACGTCTAACTCCACAGCCAAAATGTAGTCAGCTGGGATGATGAGGATGATGAGGATGATGATGAGGAAGAGGGGGATCCCTTGTCTGAGCAGCCAAGTCAAAGTGCAAACTATTATTTTTATTTATTTATTTGTTTATTTATTTTTACATTAAAATCACATATACATGCTTTTCATGTACAGCACTTTGGCAACTTTGGTTATTTTAAATGTGCTCTATAAATAAAGTTTGACTTGACTTGACTTGACTTGAAAGTGCAAACTATTATTTTTATTTATTTATTTGTTTATTTATTTTTGCATTCAAATCACATATACATGCTTTTTATGTACAGCACTTTGGCAACTTTGGTTATTTTAAATGTGCTCTATGAATAAAGTTTGACTTGACTTGAGAGTGCAAACTAAATGTGATTATGATGATCCCTGTGTCCAGGAGCTGATCACCGCCTGGTACATCGGCTTCCTCGTCCTAATATTCGCCTCCTTCCTCGTCTACTTGGCTGAGAAAGACATCAACTCAGATTTCGGCACCTACGCAGACTCCCTCTGGTGGGGGACCGTGAGTACTGGCTAATGGCTCATAAATGGTGTGTGTGTGTGTGTGTGTGTGTGTGTGTGTGTGTGTGTGTGTGTGTGTGTGTGTGTGTGTGTGTGTGTGTCACATGGGAAACGACCAGCTGATGCGTTCAATGTCACATCTCCAGTCTGTTTTTTTGCGTAAGATGCTGAGATTGAAAAGTCAACACTGTGGCCCAAACTCCACACTTCTCTTTTAATTTTTCTGTCTGTTTTTTAAGATAACGCTGACCACCATCGGCTACGGCGATAAAACCCCTCGGACCTGGCAGGGAAGGCTGCTGGCCGCCGGGTTCGCTCTGCTGGGGGTTTCCTTCTTTGCTCTTCCTGCTGTAAGAATCCCGTATTTATTTACTCACCGAGCCCCAAAGTCAGGCGTGATGAGGATGATGAGGAAGAGGGGGATCCCTTGTCTGAGCCGAGTCAAAGTGCAAACTAAATGTGATTATGATGAGATGAGATTATGATCATTTTCTGTTGAATTTCCCCCGTTTAGGGAATTTTAGGTTCAGGTTTTGCCTTAAAGGTGCAGGAGCAGCACAGACAGAAGCACTTTGAGAAGAGGCGGATGCCTGCTGCTAACCTCATACAGGTGGGGGGGGGCCGGGAAAGGTTTTCAGCACCAGGTTTGTGTTCATCCTCACCTGACGCTCTTTTATTTCTGTATTTCTGCTTTTTCTCCAGGCCGCGTGGCGTCTCTATTCCACAGACGCCAAACACTCCTATCTAACAGCTACTTGGTATTTCTATGACAGCATGTTGCCTTCATTCAGGTAGGAAACTTCCCTCTGGCCTCAGAGAAACACTCGGTGGCTTCAGCCAGAATGAGAAAAGACTGTTCGCCTTTTAAAAAAATTCAGTTTTGAGACCTGCATCATGAAATCTCACAACATGAAAATGCTAGATTGAAAAAAAATGGTTTGGGATTGTGTGTTTGCTTTGTTTTTGATCAAATGATTACTTTTTGATTTGTTAAAAAAAGCAAACATCACATGTGCTGCTCTCCGTCTAACACCCCCTTTTTTCAGGTTCACTTTTCAGTATTATTTTTTTTAGATATTTTCTTTGTCATCAGTTCTCCTCCACACAGTGGTTTATTACATTTGCATTTGGGATTTTCCATGTTGATGCAACTGACTTTGTAATGATTTTCCCGCAAAAATTTTATCCACAATTTTTGATCATGGGGGAATTATAAATCTTTGTGTCACTTCTGACATAAATCAGATTTTAAGTCTCCTTTAGCCGTTTTGGACATTTTCAAAGGGTAATAAATAACTCCCTACATTTTTTTTTGCCCATTTCATCCAGTCTAAAGCTCCCTGTATCCTGATGCTTCAATAAAGAAACACTGACAACTCTTTCGTAAATACAAGTAACAGGAAATAATCCAACATTAAACAAAAGCAAAATGGGGGCACTTATGCTGATGTGGATCTGAATTAATTTGAATTGATTACGTGTTGAATTTTTTTTTTCCAGCAAAATCATCTTTTTTTTGTTTTGGAGGAGTTGAAGTGACAAAAAGAGTCACTACAAAGAATAAAGAAAACAAAAAAAATAATAAAGAAAACACCAATCGTTCAGTCTGATAATTGAAGTAATAAAACATACATGCTATATCTATAAGATTTGAGGAACATGAACTTTGGTGTGCACAAATTCGCATCAAGCACCTTTTTGCTAAGTTATTTTCTCCCTAAAGATCCTCATTAAATGTCCAACAGACCCACGCTGTGTAAAAATAATCATGTGTGCCCATTTAAGATAACTGGTATACATGTAAAATTTGTCCTTTTCTCATAGTTTTCAGCAAATATAAATAATTGATTTTGTCAGCATTTGATTTGACGACAAAAAAAAACGTCTAAAATTTTTGTTGGAAACTCATTTTGACTGAGACATGGAAATGGTCACATTCATTAATTTGACTAATTTTTATTTCCTTAAAAGCAGGGGGGCATGAAGAATAGATAAGAACAGGCATCTGTTTGATGTAACGTTTCACTTCACAAATGTGTGTCTTCACACTTCTTGTGTGTTTAGGGTCCAAAATTAAGTTCTCCAAAAGACCAAAGGAGATTAAAATAGTTATCCAGCTCAGTCTCCCACCAGAATGTGTCTTGGCTGTAGTTCAACATGACAAAATGTTTGCACATCTCACAGTGAAGGATCAAATCTGGAAGACATTTGCTTTATGAAAGGAATAATGTGCTTTTATACCTCTTTTTAGAATCAAAACATGTCTGAATGTTAACCAATGTGAAAATTGAATGTATTATATTGAAGCTTTACCAATTACAACATCTTTGAGGCTCTAAAAAAGTAATTTTTTCAACATTTCAACATGCTTAGATTTATCTTAATATTCCAGATTTAGCTTAACATTCCTGCATATTCTGATATCACTTAACTTTTACATGTTTAGATATTTTCATGAGGAGTGAGGCGATACATGGTTAGGTAGGTCCAGGAAGCAAAATTGTATTAATCGTTTTATTTTTGCTTTTACTCACTGTTAAGTCAGGGCTAGAGCGGACAATTATTTATTAGAATTAGACATTATGTCATATCTGGTTAGTGTGAGCCCTCCAAAACACATGGTTGGGTTGTCACAGCTTTTTCTCGTCTAAACGATGCTCAAAACTAAAGAAAAGGCAATAAAAAACACACATATGTTGCATCATCTCTATTGGGACTGAGCTGTGTCCTTTGTTGTCACTAACCAGTCGCCCATTTGGAATTATTATTCTTTAACCTTATGTTCTCTGGCTGGAGCAAATCTTGTAAACCGTTTACAGTTTTGTAGCTTTTTACGTCACACACAACAGCTACTGATGCCTCTTGGATTGGAGAAGTTTGGGAACTTTGAGGCTTTTTGTACTTTTGGACTGCACAGGATGGCTGAGCAACCTCAATTTTGACAGTTTTGGTTTCAAAACACACAGTTTTGCTTTAGTGTGTTGTTACATCCAACTACTGTAGAAGCAAAAAAATAAAAAATCAGCTATATTCTCTAGATTTTTTTAACAAATTAACAATACAGTGGTGGATCATTTGGTGGATATGTGATAAATGTAAAGTTTTTTTTACCTTCTTTATCATCCATTTTTAAAGTAATGCTAAAACTGCAACGTTGTAGGAAAGTTCTACAACCCAAATTTTACACAATGAAATGTCATGGAGCCATGGAGTCCCACAAAACAAAATTAAAAAAAAGGAAAAATAATTTTGGACCCTATGTACATCATCTTTCTTCTTATGTATCCCTCTTCTTTTGAGCCTTTGGACATTTGTTTTGGCCTTTTTGTGGCTATTCCATTGTCTGTTGTTTTTTTTCGTTTGTTCATTTGTGATTTTTGTTTTGTTTTATTTGTGCATGTGGGTGTCAGAGAACTGACGCTACTGTTCAGTCACCTCCAGCGACAGCGTAACACCAAGAAGGTTCTGCAGAACTCCTACCACACGCTGCTGTCAGGGCTGCGGCCCTACAGCTCCCCCTACCTGTCGGGGGACAGGTACGCACCCCGCCACTCATCCCCTCACCCAGAACAGCCGGCCAAACCTCCGTTCCCCCCGGCAACCGTCGCAAAAAACTGTCCTTTCGGCTGGTTTGCACGCACCGAAAACAAGACTCCCGGGGCCTCCAGCTTTGAGGCGTTTGTCTAACTGTACTAACATCGTCTGTTGCAGAAAACTCTGCGTCTTTGTCCGCCCAACTCATGCCCTCGCCATCTTTCCCCTTCCCTTCCGCTATCCACTCATGAGTTTCCTCTTCCTTTCTTCCTCTTTCTTTCCCTGTGTGTCTATTGTGTCCTTTTTCACGGCCTCCATCATCCCTCCTCCATCTGTTCTCAGGAAGGGAGACGTTCCATGCAGGTTTGTTTTCCTCACGTCATGAAAGCTGTGCTTGTTAATTAAAGGGCCATTCATAGATCAAATGGGTTTGCTTTGATAGATTCGATGACATAAACCTGATTTTAACGTGGCCGGTTAGGTGTTATAGGTTGCGGGACTGATGCATGTGTGGGATGAAAGTATTGCGGGTGTGTTTGCTGGTAGTACTCTTTGTTTGAAGCAATACACTCAGGTGAAAAACCACCTGCTACCTCAGCATGATCCTCCGTCTAACACTCGAGTGGAGTGTGTCTCTATAATCCAAAATGGAAAAAAACAAGCCGAGTAAAGACGCTAAAAGGATATTTGGACTATGGAGAAGTCACTCCTCACCCCCTCACCCTTTTTTCTCCCCTTGACCACGACTTATCCCGATGGGTTTTCCCACGATGTGTCCCAGATCTGGTCCTCCTCACCCCCCCCCCCCTCCCCCCCCCCCCCCCCCCCCCCCTCATCCTCTCTCCCTCTGCCCTGTGTGTCTCCCCAGTCAGCTCCTTTCTAAAAAGCGAGGTCTCTTCCGGATTCATGCCGGCCGCAAGCAGAGGTATCCACGGCAACAGGCTTGTGCACGGGGCACGTTAAGATGTGGCCATCAGTAACACGGCTCGCCTTGCCTGAGCCACGGAGGGAATTTGTGGGCCACCGCAGTGGTTTGTTAGCTTCTTTTTTTTTCACAATTCGGATTAGCTGCCACAAAAATCTCACTTTTTCTCCAATGGGCTGTTTAAAACAGACACTGCCCTCTGGTCCACAAATACCTGGATGAATCCCTCAGTATGAAAACATTCAGTAGTTTCGGGTTTGCCCCTTTGTCCTGGATGTATTTGTGTTTTTCGAAAAAAAACTTGAACAGGAAAAATGAAAGAAATCTTTTTCAAATTTTTTTTTGCTTGAAAGTTTTTCTTTCATTTGTTGGGGAAAATGGAAAAATGTCTTATTTTTGAGCCACACAAACCCTGTGCACCAAATCGACATGCTTGTGTTGTGTTTTTACAGGGTTTTTGAGTGCTTCTGTTTGCATGCGATGTTTTTCTTAATGTTTGTGAAAGACTCAGCGAAGTTAACGGGCCTGAATGCATCCGGACCATTAATTCCCCTTTCCGACAGCATGCCGAAGGTCTTTTTTCTCTCTACCTTTCCCATTTCCTCCAGTCTACCAGAAGCATTTCAAAAATGCCTGTATGAAATGTGGTTTCCACTCACATTCCTTGACTATTTAAATTTTAATTTAAATGGCCGGCTGCTGTGCATCACACGCGAGACAAAGAGTATATCATCGGGAAAAATGCGTACGAGTGAAGGACGTGGCTGGAATTGCTCCGCGGTGCATGATGCCTTAAGGATCCGTGACAGTGTGCAACCTGTAAATGGCGGTGGAGTGGGACCGGTCCACGGGAGCATGCTATAACAGCAGCATTAGGGCTCAATCTTTAGCAAAGTGGCAGCCAAATAGCCTTTTTTTCCCCCTCCCGTAAATAGAGGAGTTCACGTATCTGCCTGACTTGGCTTGTGGTGAGTGGTTCAGAGTACTTAATGAGGCACGTTTTGTACGGTTGCAGCACTTTAAAGCCAATATTTTGATGTTTATACACTCTGCTGAAGGGGATTAGGGCTGCTTCTGTGATGGTGGGTGGGGCGTTTTTTTCGCCATCCCAGCAGTGCTGCGAGTCTCGAATCAGGTTTCAGTTTTATCTTGCTGATTCAGGTGCAAAGATAGGCACATTAAATGATCAAATCCTCAGGGCAGACTCAGTTCTTAGCAATGTCGAGTGGCGCTTTTTTGGTCAATCTGCCTCCGGGGTGAGTCAGCAACTCTGTCCTTCACCGAGGTGAAATGGAAGAGGTCTGTTTGTGTCCCCCTTTTGTTTGTTTGTTTGTTTGTCGGTTTACGTGACGGCCTTTATTTCAGTCGGAGGCCATTTTTCTGTGTAACCTATCACTAACAAACTCCTTTCTAACCGGCTCAGACTGGCACTCTGCTGCTTTCCTAAGCTCCCAGGATAACACAGTGAAGTTTTACTTAAGAGCCAGAGACATTTTGTGGGCTGCGCCTGCCCTGATCCAGAATCCCAGCCGTTGGCAGCTTGTGTTGAACTTTTCCTACCTCCCTCGCAGCAGTAAAATGGGCTTCCGGGATCGGATCAGGATGAACAACTCCCGTTCGTCCCAGACCATCCGAAACAAGGCGTCGCCGGTTGCCCCCGGCGCCGGGGTCCGCCGCTCGCCCAGCCAGGAGAACGTCGCCGAGGCAACCAGCCCCGGAAAGGTCCAGAAGAGCTGGAGCTTTAATGACCGCACGCGCTTCCGCACCTCGCTGCGGCTGAAGCCCCGCCCACCCGTGGAAGGTAAACAGAACGCATGATTTTACCCTCCTGATAGCCTGTTCTGATGGAGGATGCTGCATTTCTACCTCTCTTTACCGGGATCCTCCTTCTTTCTTTGACCTTTGACCTCTCGGCCTCATAGCAGACGCCATCAGACACTACTGTTTGAAATCTAAAGGAAATTAGTTTTGGACATTTTACACCAATCATGTTTTAAAGATTGTTCATTTGTACATTCAGATCTATATTTTTAAAGTTTTATCATTTCTGTCCTATATTTTTATTTCTACATTTTATTTCTTGCTTCTCATAGAAGTGTTGTGTTGTGCACTAAACACCAAGGCAAATTCCTTGTAAGTCTAAAAACCTACTTGGCAATAAACCTGATTCTGATTCTGATTCTTATTGTGTAATTGAAATGTTGTAAATGAGTCATTTGGACCCTCAGAACCAAATTGCAGAGAAAACATTTAATAAAATCTACAAATAGACATTTTAAATCTAAAGATAAAACCCACTGAGCCTCTATGAAGAAAAACTTCCCGTACCAGGACAAAGTCTAGTTATTAAACTTATTAGCTCCTACTGATCCAAAGATCTGAAACAAAGCAAGAAACCAGATTCAGTGCACACTAAAGTCTTGACCACCTTTCCTGTGCTCCTTCTCAGTGGAGGGCGTCGGGGAGGACAGCGTGGAGGACAAACCGTACTGTGACGTGGCCATGGAGGAAGTGATCCCGGCCGTGAAGACACTCATACGAGCTGTGAGGTGAGCCCCCCCTGCCCTGAAATGTATAGGAACTAATCCATGCTGACAGAAAGACAGAGTACTCTTCGGACAGAAGTCACCGATCCGTCACCGTGTTTAGAGCCAGTCTCCCGGTCAGCGGGATGCATGCCCTCTCGTTACCATCCCATAATCCGGCATCTGTCCTGCGGCTTTTGGAGGAGACCGCCCACAGAGAAACTCAACTCAACTCAACTTTATTTATAAAGCGCTTTCAGTCAGCCAAAGCTAAAATCAAAGCGCTGTACAGGCCATTTGAGCGAATCATAAAACATAATTATCACCTCCACACAAGACAAACTCAAAGATTAAAAACAGTAAGAGCAAAAATAAAAAACAAACATTCAAAGCCAGGAAACCCCTCATACGCGTGTTACAGAAAACACTCCAACATCCACAGTTTTTCATCAAATCAGTCCGGCGTCAGTTTTTTTTTCAGATTCGGCCAAAAGCAACAAGGTTTTTTAGTAAGACAGCACTGTTGTAAATAACTGGGAAAGATAGATAACTGACCCAAAGAAAACAAAAAGCATGACTCACACTGATGAAGACAAGAAAAACTTAATACAAGTAAGATAGATAACTGTAAAAGTGTAAAAAAAAAAAAGTGTAATACATGTGCCATAAGTGGGAAGAGAAATGTTTAAAACATGGGTTTATGGGAATAAGGCTGGACTGCCTTGAAACAAAAGAAAAAAGAAAAAAAGACAGCATTGTTGGATCTGCTGTTCTCAGGCCCGAAAAACCAACAAAAGCATGTGCGTGTAAAAGTAAAAGGTGAACATCCTCCATCCTCCAGATTCAGCTGATGCAGGCAAAAGCTCCACTCAGGAGCTGTAAGCGAGCCATCCGGCAGGCCGTGCCAGTTACCCCACGTGAGCTCGTCCCTCAGAAATGAAAAGAAGGATCACAGAACAGAGAGAAACGGGGCATCTGGAGCAAAAACTTTGAATACGAGCAGCATTGATACTGATATAGATATCTGCCACAGCCTTCTGCCTTCCTGTCACTGAAACACAAGAGTCTTAGATGTTATGACACCAGGACATGACGGGTGGATTTCTCCTAACAAATGGTGCCTTGTTACCGGCTCTGCCCACTGTTCACCTTTTCCATAATTAGTGATTATGTGCAACGTAAATAATTAGTCCACCGGCTTCTGTTGAGCATCTTCTGCCCCCTGTGTATAGAAACTCCATACAGCTGTTAGCTGCATTTCTGTGAGCACAAACTAGGTCCTGTACGCTGGAATCTCTCACATTTATGCGCAAATGTGCCAGAACAAAAATCTGAACGAGCTAACAGAGATATCTCGCTGTCAGCTTACTTGCTTAGTCGAGAGCAGTCGTGTGTAAACAGCAGGAAATCCTCTGGAGCGTTTTTGGACACAGATAAGAGCTGCTGCTCTCTGCTCTCCTCTGCTTATCTGTGCATCGCTCTCTATTTGTTTGATGCCACGATATAAAATCTGAAATGATACGGTGTAAAGGCCTGATGGCTTCCCCCTCAGGTCCAGCTAACATCTAACACCCAAATGAAAAAATAAGCTGGTAGTTTTTCCACTCTTTTTCAGAAAACTCTTTTCTTGGAAGACACAGGTAGACGCTCACTCATGTAAGTTAAATTAAAAAAGTCTCTTTGACCAAACCAACTTTGACCATTTCCATATATATGTATATATATATGTATGTATATATATATGTTTATATAAAATGTCCTACAGACAGAAAAAAAAAACTCCAATTGCAAACATTTGGTGTTCGGTCTCCTGGGGAGTTGATGTAAGCAGTTTATTAATGATTTTTCCCCCCTGATGATCCTGATGTCAGCACTGCAGCTTCACACGACTTCTTGGGGTAGTATGACGCTGTCGTTGCAGATCTTTAGGCCTTTTTTCTTCTGAGAGACATAATTCTGCATGCAAGCATTGGTAATTATCCACCCGTCCATTTTCCATACCTACATAATCCAAACGAGGGTCTCCGGTGGCCTGAGCCCTGTAAAAGCCCTGTAGAAGTTATGAAATGCTGTAATATTTGTAAGATTGTCTACAGTTAAGGGTGAAGGCCCGTGAATCTTTCCTTTAAATGCTGATTCTTGCAGCTTTCGCAAACAGGACAGCTCAGATTCCATCGGAAACGAGCAGAACTTTACATTTTCTCCTTTTACTCAGGAAGAGCTGCATGTTTCAGGTTTGTTTCAGGCTTGTTGGAATTTGTGCGTGGCCGAATGTGTTGTGTTTTTCTGGGCATGTACACAGCAAATAGATGTTGGCCACTTCTGGGACGTAATGAATTACTGTGTGGCAGCGTAACGCCACCGAAGGGTCATTATGTGGTCTCTCCTCCGGCTCGTGCTTGACTCAGCACACGGCTCAGACCTGAGCAGACAATAGGAAGGAGGGAGTTCCTATAGGTGGCGCAGGTGTGTAAACAGCAGGTGTTTCCGTGCGTGAGCCTCTCGCATGTATGCGGCACCCAGCCAGGGCTCATGATGGATGTCGGGAACGGCTTTAGTGCTGAGACTTCACTTTATGTGCACGTGGCTTCTCATTGCCTGCATAAATGTGTGCTGTGTTTATGTTTTGAACAGAACAAAACACACATTTTGGAGGTTTTTGGTCAATTTAAACATATCAAAACTTGGACCTGATGAGTATTTATTGTGGTCTGGACATTAACTCCTATCATTTCTATGCATTGTCTCGGTCTGTTATTCACATTATTCTCCTGTGGGTTAGGTTGGTCAGAGTTATATCTAGCTGGGAATCCGAACTGGCCCTGCAGTGACTCATCCTACGTGGCTTTGTGTCAGCAAAACAGTCATTTTTAATGCCCACATAAAACCCTGCCATCGGAGCCTATCGGGGAGCGAAGCTTTGCTGAGTTGCATAAATGTTTGCAGAGGCTTTGCAAGCATTTTGAGTCATGACACTTCCCGTCCCTCCACCGGTGGCTGTGTTTTTCCATCTCAACTTCCTGGCTCTGGAAAGGGAAGGTGTGATATCTTGTGCCGACCGTTTTGACTGGAAACTGGGCCTCCTCAGACCTGACTGTGAGTGTTATTAAAGCAATTTCAGAGACCAGGAGGCAGAGTCAGCGTTTTGAAGAAACCCCCCCCGGGGAGAATCTAAATCTCGAACAATCCGCTTTTTTCGTTTCAACCTTTTCTTTAACCCACGTGTGAGACCTTGCCCAGGCAAAAAGCGGGGGGAAAAAAAGAGAAGAAAGAAATTGAATAGAAAAAGAAACTGCATCCACCTGCAAAATAGAAAAAAAAGGGCAGAGTGCAAAAATACCTCAAATGCAGAAGTCATCAAGAAACAGAGTGCTGCGTGCGGGGAAGGAGGCTGATGGCGCCAGCTGGGCACCAACTCCTCTTCCTCCTCCTCCTCCTCCTCTTCCTCCTCCTCCTCTTCCTCCTCCTCTTTTCTGATCATAACAGTTTGCTGTGTTTGGCTGCTGTGAATGCAGAACCCAACAAAGGTGGCAGTGGTCTTCTCACAAAACGACCCCTCTAACCCTTTAAAGCCCGATCCAAGAAAAATAGGAAGAATATTGGATTTTTTTTTGTCTAAAGTATTTCTTTGGCCCCTCAACAACATATGAAGAAAAAAAAAACTGAAATTATTTTGATCAAATTAGCGTGCAATAAGTCAAAAATATGTTTTGGTGTAGTCTTCTACTGGGTTTTATCAGGTATATCTGAATGTACAACAAGGATTTGAGCAAAGCTTTTACCACTGAATGATGCAAAAAGTCACAGATCCAAAAGACTTCAGAAACTGTATGTATCAAAGGTGATACATTTGGCATTAAAGGGTTAACAAGTCCAGGTGTCACATGGCCTCAGGTGTGTGTTTGTGGTGTTTGCAGACTTCTGAATGAGGAGTGTCTAATTACAACCATATAAGTCTTTTTATTTGAATCGTTAAATTAATTTTCTCAAGGTTTTGGTCGCCTCAAGAAAATTCTCTCTCAGGTTTCAAACGTTTTTTAATTCCAGCCTTTCTGATCGGTTGCTTCTTTGTTTCCACAGTTAATAATAATAATAATTATCATAAAAATAATCATGTCTCACCTAACCGATCATCCAGTGGTCTGGTTTTATACAAAGGCCAAACTTGTATTCATTATGTAGCTGAATACTTCTGGACTTAGGCTCTTTAGTCCCTCCATTCTCGAGGATTCTCGCTTGTGCTGCTGTTTAATCTCACGTTTTCCTTTCAGCAATCTTAAAACTTTGCTCCAGTTCCTTTCATGACTCTTGTGCATAGCCCCCCCCCTTCCCAACCCTCCCATTGGGCGCCTGAGCAGATGGACTCAGGCAGAGGCAGCTGTCAGTGACGTGTTCGGCACCAGAACCCCTCAGATGGACCCCCCCCCCCCCCCCCCCCCCCCCCGGGGGAGGGGGGGGGGGGGGCGGGGGGCGGGGGGGCCCAACGGGGCTGCCCCCATAAAAAAGGAGCCGCCGCGGGGGGGGGGGGAACCGGGGCGTGTGCGCGCCTTTCTCTCTGCGGAAATGTGCTAATTGCTGAAACAGCAAACACTGATAAGAAAATGTCTCCTGGAGAAGCTCTCATCATCTCAGTATGGGCTCACGGTTTGGTGGGTTTGTGGCCGTTTCTTTATGGGCCTGTTTGTGAACGATAAGGTCACGCCGGCTGTAATTAATCTGGCTCCTCTCAGGCTGAGCTGCATCGTTTGTTAGCCTCCCGTCCCTGCATTTTTTCCAAAGGTTTACGGCTCTTCACGCGCCTCAACGTGTGGACTGAAGCTTTAAAGGTGCTCCGAGGTGCGATAACAGCTCCTGTGTTGTGTTTCCCTCTGCAGGATCCTGAAGTTCCTTGTGGCCAAGAGAAAGTTTAAGGAGACGCTGCGTCCGTACGATGTTAAAGACGTGATAGAGCAGTATTCTGCCGGACACCTGGACATGCTGGGCCGCATCAAGAGCCTGCAGATGAGGTGGGTCATTTACTACCACCAACACTGATCTGCTGTTTGGAAAATGAAATCCTTTTTCTGAAATTTAAAAAAAAAAATCTGAAAATCTCAATGAGTTTTGTCAAAAACTCAATGAGTTTTTTAGTCAGGTCTCCCTCGAAAAAGAGATTTTATCTCAAGGGACTTCCTGGTAAAATAAATGTAAAAAAAAAAAAAGCCTGTAGGTTAAATCAGAATAAAACAATCTAAGGCTAAAAATGTGATGGCATATTTCAGGCTCTGTGTTGTAGCTTCAGTCAAAACAAACATCTGACAAAAGAACAAGTTCTCCATGAAATCTCAAATACTCAAAAACTATTTAAAAAAAAAAGAATAACATAAAAAGCCTCATCACCTGAGAAGCATTAGGGCTTTTAGGCAAATGTGTGATGACAGAAGAACAACAAATGTGATGATTCAGTCAGTTCAGTTTGTGTTGGTGTGTACCACAAACACAAGAATCACCCAAAATCAGATCAAAATCACAACTCTGAGCTCCGTTTTTCTTCATCGTACCTACTTGACCCTGTTGTGTGTGTGGAAAAGGGTGGACCAGATCATTGGGAGAGGAGCCGTTCAGCCCGATAAGAAGACGCGCCCCGAAAAGGGAGAGAAAACGCCACCAGAACTGGACCCACTGGATGAGCTAAGCATGATGGGACGCGTAGTCAAAGTGGAAAAACAGGTACCGCAGAGAAAGTTCGATTTGTAGAAGAAATATCCGGAACCTTTTTAACTCATTGGCCGCCAAAGACGTCTATAGACGTCTTTTATGTTTTTCAACGAGAGTGGCTTGGGGGACGATCTGCTAAAGCTTGTCCGTAAATATCAGGCTTCTAGACAGAGTATGTACTAACAAATTGACCCTCTAGGTGGCAGTGCCACTTTTGATGGGAGATGAGCATAGATTGTAGGCAAATAAAAAAAAAGCAATGGTTCGCTATAAGAGAACATGTCGCCGGTGAGACGCAAGTCGAGGAAGAACGGAATAAGGTAGAAAGTATTTTTTTTCCTGATGAAAGAAGAGAGTCTACTCTTTCTTTTGGTGTGTTCGGTGTTTACATAGTCATAGCACAAACCATTCTGTGGCTCTTGAAAAATCAGTCAAAATGCTCAAAAAACTCCGGCAGTCAATGAGTGAATAGTTTTCTCAAACCTAAAGCAGCAAACTGATGCGTTTCTCCGCCTGTTTTAGGTGCAGTCTATAGAAAACAAGCTGGACCTTCTGCTCAACTTCTACTCCCAGTGCCTGAAGAAAGGTTCCTCCCACGCCACCCTGTCCTCCCTGCTGGACCCCGACCTGACGTCCGACTACCACAGCCCCACAGACCAAAGAGACCTCTTCCCCTCCGCCAACACACTCATCTCCCACTCTGAGAGCGGAAACCTGGAATGATGGACACACACCTTTTCCAGTACGTCTTCCTTAGGCCAGGTCCTCACCACGAGCAGCTCCACCCGACTGTCTCCGCCCCGTTTCGTACCGGTCCTCCCCGTCTCCAGATATGCATCCTCTGTGAGTAAATGTGTCCGATCCAGACGGAGGTCAGCACATGGAGCCTCAGCCAAAGCTGCTCACCGCACACGCCTCTCGACTCGCTGGATGAAGACGAAAACTGAGAGCAGACACATTAAATAACTGATACTCGACTACTGAACCACTCTCACCCGCTCACTTCTCGATAAGCATCTATCTCCGCCCTAAAGCTTCTAAAGCAGATAATCAGATAGTTCAAAAGAGGTTTTTTTTTAAAAATCTTTGGAGAAATCTTATTTTTGTTCTTTTTTAGCTGCTTGAAATTGTTAACTCAGAGTTGCCGTTCGCCAAGTACTTTTGCATTGAACTTCTCGATGTGATGCCTGTAATCTATCCCACAACTCTGCATCGCCCCCAAACTAAAGGAAAAACGCAGACGAGTCAGAGAGACGGAGCTCCCTTTGACCTGTCGGGGGACTCAGCTAACAGCCAGCAGGGTACACGGTCCCACCGAAACAAGGGAATTTTAATTGTGCAAATCCTGCTCTCTTGGTCCCGCATCGTCGCATGAAAACAAAGCTGGAGCGAATGGATACAGACGTTTGTTGCCCCCATTCCCTTTTTATTTGTTCTCCAACAAGCCCAATTGCAAAAAAAAAAAAGCAAAAAAACATCCCATTTTTTTCTGGTATTCAAGTGAGGAATGTTGTAAATTATCGAGGACTTAATGGTCAGAGCGTTCTGTGACAGGTTCGCAGTCCGTTTTTTTGCTGTATTTTACAGACTGTGAGGTTTTCAGTGACCTGAACGGATGGATTCAAGCCCTTTAAACCCGTCGGTCTTGCAGCCCTCAGGCCCGCCATGCATGCTCGCCATAACCGCCACTTAGATAATTCCTCACCGTCCAGGATTCGGACACAGGATTCCCGTCACTCACAACCAGCCTCGTGTCAGGTTTACTGTCTCAGAAGGTCCAGATGGATCCCGACCGGTCGGAACCTGAGTGGGTTCAACACTCCTGCATGTACAGAAACTCTACGGCCAGTTTATTTCTACTTTAGAAGACGATTAACACGTAAGGTATACGCGTCTGATGCATGAATTCCATATCTTTACCCTCATGGATTGCACATGTTTGGAGTTTCTACCACCGGCACAAACGGAGCTGTTGAGGTTTCTTTCTGTTTGGCCACTAAACGCCCCGTGCAGATGGACAAAACTGGAGGGTGAACTAAAGCACACATGCAAACACACATATTAACAACGAAAGCAATTCCTTTACTTAGATCATTTGGCACTTGATGACAGTATCGGCTGGTTTTGTCTTCGTTTAATTTTGTTTTGATTTATTTACTGTAATTGTGTCCATGCACTTGATTTTACTGACTTTTATGTAACCTGTAACAGAGAAGTGTTATTTTGTAATGATTTTTGCTTGTTACAGTGAATGTAGGATTTGAGTTAATATATTTAATTCCGTAAGATATGATCTTTAGATGAATTTAACATATTTGACTAGCTAAATCCCGGACGACGCAGCTGTGCAGGTTTGTGCACTTGCAGTGCACAGATGTGTGTTTTTGTAATGTTCCCCCAGGCTGCTGCCAGCTTTAGCTAAGAAAAAAAAAACAGTGTTCTGCCGTTTGGGGGCCAGTTAGAATATTATCTGTTCCCGTCAAGCCAGTTGACTCAGGTGCTCCGTTTCCCCCTGATTTTGAACAGTGAATGTACTTCATAGCCAGGTCCTTTCAGATCTGTTGGTACTTCACAGATCCCGTGTCCTCATTGTTGGAGGTGTGTTTTTAGAAGCACAGTTAAGCTGAACAGCACTGTCCTTCGTTTCGTCATCACCTGGAATGTAAAGCCTCACGAAAATGAATGTGAGATAACTGTGTTGCATGTTGTGTTGTGGTGGCCCCGGTACTTGACAGAAGGAAAAAAACAGAAACAGACCTGTGACCTGTGCCTTCTCCGCTCCTCGTTCTGTAAATGATTCGCACACTTTTACACCTCCAACTCAAACCCTGCTCAGATGAGAAGTGTTTTTTTTTTTATTACGCAAAACCTTTAACAAAATTAAGAAGCACCTCGACATTTGTTCTCAAGATGTAGTGTTTTAAAGCTGATGTAAACTTTGATATTTTCTGACGGTATTGTCGTCTGTCCAGCATATCATTGCACCTCTCCAAGGACGCCTCCCAGATGTGGAGGCCGGAGGCTGGACATTTGTGTCACCACAGGCATGTGTACTTTCATTAGCATGAAACATAAATCTGAATGGCTTCCACACAACTACCTCTGAGGCCACTAGAGGGGCGCTAGTTTAGGGAACTGATTAGGAGAAACAGTAGCCGACAGAATGCAATGCATGACTCGATGTGCACGTTCTTCTTTCTCTTCAAAACGTCCGACCGCCTTCCCATTTTCACTGACTTGCTGCCATTTGACATTCCAGCTCAGTGCTCTTTAGATACTCTCATAGGTGTTGGAAAAAGTTGTTTAAATCAAACAAGAATCGATCAAGCAATAAGCCGACTCGTCACCAAGTCTTCCAATTCCAACCGATGAGGCAACTGGGTGTGTAAAATGTCACTAGTTTGTTTTCTAATCAACCTATATTTGATCTTTTAGAGAGGTACAAGAATGTCTTTCTGCTGAGGATTACATTAGATCACATGACTAACTTATTATGGTAATTTATTTGTTTCAATAAAGCTCTCTGGACTGTATGTTGCTCTGTTTTTTGTTTAATTATTCCACATTACATTATAGTTCTCTATTTCCAAAAATAAATGATGTGAAACAACTTGAAACCATCTAAAAAAATCCCTCTAATGGAGCAAAACTTTATTCTAATTTACTCTCAAAACCTGACTGAACAGTAAAAAACTGCACAGCTCTCAGCTGCTGACGACATTTGACTGATTTGATCTGACTTATTTAAGGATGAAAGCCATCAGAAAAGTTCCTGCAGTGTCAATTCAACATGGAGCTCTGCTGCTTTTCACCGTCACAATGTGAAGCGTCCCACGCCGTAGAAGTGGTAGAATATGGTCACGTGTCGTTTGAAGGGGTCGACGATCAAATAGGCAAAGGTCTGCTCCTCCTCCTGAGTCCCGGGGTAACGATGCCCCGTCTCATCCTGTGGAGGACCAACCAAACAAAGGCTTTCAAATAGGTGACATGGCCTCTGTAATACGATCAATCAATCACAATTTATTTACATAGCACTTTACAACAACCAGCACGTATCCAAAGCGCCTAATAAAATGAGTCAAATCACAACACACAATAGAAAGAGTAAACATAGAAGACAGTAAAATCAGAAAAAGGTTACAAAGATACGAAAGAATGAAATTGTCACACGGCTGCTATGTATTAAAAGCCAGACTGAACAGATATGTTTTGAGTTTGGACCTAAAAAGAGCGATTTCTGTATCTGTATCCATACAGCTGTGAACACGCAACGGTTGTTCGCTAATAAGTATCCTAATAAAAAATAAAATAAAATAAAGGTTTGAACTGGCTAAATGTGATGAGTTAAGAAATGAAGAACTTTTATCAAAATGGATAAAACACCACACGACACAAGTTGGAAAACTTGGACTGTGGTTGATTAATTACCAAAGACACTGTCTTCTAAAACTACTGTGGTAGTTTAATAACAAAAAAAACAATTATTCCAATGGCTTCGTGTTGATGTGGATGCATCAGAGGCAGGAAATGAGCTGGTCACTCACACAGGCCGACACTTTGATCACGGTGGAAACAACACTGATCCTCTTCGTCTCTGGATCCTTCTGCACACTGAGATTCAAATAGGTGAGATTTAACCTTACAAAGGATTGTCTAACGCGGGGATAAAGATTCTGGCTACCTGATCAGGTCTTTGTAGATCTGCCTGGTGGCTCGGATGTAAGGATCCACGGTGTCCTCGTACTGGCAGAGCTCCCCCCCCAGGCATAGGTGCTGGAAAAGGCGAAACAGAAACTCCCCCCGCGCCTCTCTGCCCACCACATGGTAATGCTCAGAGTCCTCCTCCTGTAGCATCTGGAGGGATCAGGGCAGTCAGAGGCTGATTTCCTGTCAGAACATATAGATGCAAACGGGCAGATGAAAGGGGGAGAGCCACCCGTCGGAGTTCATCGTAGTCGGGGTGCACGTCGTGAAGGCATTTGACCACGTGCCCCGAGGGCCTCAGGACGCCACAAGAGTAGATGGGGTCAAACATCTCCATGGAAACCTGGGTGCAGGGGACGGGCTCCACGCCGACGGACACCACCGGCCTGTCTGCAACACACGGGCACGCTCAAAATTACATTCCACAGAGATCCCACCCCCAGGAAAAAAAAAACCCGAAGAGCAGCTGACATCAGGCTGGGTTTGTCTGGGATGAAAGGCTCTCTGGGGGCCACGGCTCACCGAGAGGGACCCACAGTCCAGAGTCCACGTCTCTCAGACTGGAAACCACTTCTGGGTCTCTAAAGAAGCACTAAAATCACAAACAAACGAGAAACAACAGGTACAATCTCAACTAGGATTAAATGTTGATCTTATAAATGTTCATCTGGGATTGTTAAAGTATTATTAAAGATTATTAAAGTATTATTAAAGGTTATTAAAGTATTATTAAAGATTATTAAAGTATTTGTGATCCTGATTCATCTGTATTTAGAGGTCTTACCAGTGCAAACTGTTCGGCGTTGTAAGGGTGGAAGTTGTGGTCAAAACTGTAGGACCGACACGAAAGCCTCCCCAGCATGGACCTGAACGCAACACACAGCCGTCAGAGGGCCACGCGACACGTTTTATTTAAAAAGCTTGGACAGAAGTCAAGTCACCATTTCATTAACAGCGCCAAGGTGTCCCTGTCCTGGAGGAAGGACGGCGTCCTGCCCGGGAGAGGACTGAAGGCGAACGACTGCTCGGACGCGCATTTGTCTCCCTCCATGTCCAGGCAGCCACTGAAAGCTGGGTTTAGTTTAACAACACTGGACGCAGACGAACACAAATAAATGGCGGTTCGGCTGGGTTTGTGTTGAAGTCGTTGCCATGGCAACGGACTCAGGCGACGTCTCAGAACCTCCAACATTTCCCCGCCTAAATTATTATTTAGCGTCAGAATATAACCAGCTGCCTTAACTAATGTTTAGTAGGGTTATTAAATAAAAACAATTATTAAATTAAATTTTTATTTAATTTAATTTCGGCTTTTAAAGTTAGAAACAAACAGAAACGTCCCAGGACAGGTGAAGTTATCCCCAAAGCCACCAGAGGGCGACCTCGTCCTTCCTGGGAATCGTGTTTCTTGGCCTGTAAATCAAGTTTAGTCTTCATTTATTTCGGATCTGCAGCTAATTCAATTTAACAAGTTCAGGCTCTTTTTCGTTTTCCTTTTCTGAAGGTAAGCGCACACTGGTGGGTTTAAAGTCACTGTTGTTGATTGCAAATACACAATTAATACAGTAATTTTTTAGTAATGACTGACAGTAAAAAATCAAAAGACCAATCTTTCTTTATTCAGAGCGTAGACTGTGTCTTTACATGTAATCATAACTAACTAACTAACCCTCGAAAGTGCCGTAAAACATGATTGTATATTAGAAAAAATATTCATTGAGTTTTGGAAACTCTTGTATGATGTGACAGACTGTGTTGTATGTCATGTTGTAAAATTTTCCATCTGGCAGGAGCACCTGAGGCACAGTAGGCCCTTGGTCCTTCTTATATTTATAGATAACTTTTTTATAATGTCATATTTAAGGTGCCAAAGCTTCTCGTTGGTTCTGTCTCTCCGCTTATTCTTTTACATCTGTGGACTATTCAAGGAGTAGGAGCCATTTCACAGTTTGATTATTGTGTTTTGTGTTTGTTTCTTTTATTATTCCCTCTGAAGGAGGCAGCTGAACATTCACAGGTGTTGCAGGTTTGTTGATTGTGAGTGGTTAGGGCAGATTTTATCCCTAATTTTTGGGAACGTCACCCCAAAGGGAAACTTCTTCTGGACAGTTTGATTGATTGGACTGGAGAATGAGCTAAATACATTCCTAAGCCACCACAACTGACTAAAACATTTTCACCACACGAGGATTACAGCAAAAATTAATCCTATTACATCGCTGGTGATCCTTATGAATATTTGATATCTCTTCTGCTTAAACACTCAAGTCATTCTTTTAATTCCTGGCATTCCAGGATTGATAAGACGGAGAGATCCTCATGATGCACATTCCAGTTAAGGACGCACAGACCCAGAAATTCACTGTGAGGGGAGCCAGAACTGTGAAATGGGGGGGACAAAGTCACAATAATATCCGCCAGTCCATCCCAGTCCCATACAGAAAACACAACCGTGTGTCAATCATTCCAATATCTAAGTGATCTCATCTCATCTGATGACATAATAACAGACATCATATTGTCCTGGGGCATAGTCTTTCCAGTAAGTCTTGCCTTGTTAACCTAAAAATGCACATCTTTAAAATACTCGTGATTGGAGTGTCAAATTGACCCACATTAAGATGTCATGTTCTCACAATGAAAACAAAAATGTCTCAGGGTGGTTCAATCTGTCACAGTAAAGAGCTTAACAAAAAAGGCTGCGTAATGAGTCCAAATTCGGGGCAGATAGACCCTTTTTCTTCCAAAAGACTCGACCGAACGATGAAGAGAATAGATCATCACAGCCAGGCCGTCACATGACTGAGTCAGGCTCATTAAAATACAGACATTCTCTCTGTCTGAGAAACTCAAAAAGAAAAGCAGGAAGGCAGGAAGGCGACACAGGTGAGAGTATGTAACGGCTTTGAAATGCTGGCTGTGATCGTATCTCTCCATTCCGGCTTGACAGATTCAATGGCAGATATGGAACCTTTCCCAAATCCTCCATAGTATTTTCTCATTTGAGGATCATGGCATGAGGAGGGCATCGCTGCTTCATGAGTCCTCAGCACTTTCTTTCAAAATAATCTGCTTGGAAAAGGTTCAGGAACAAGCTGATACACAGCCCGGGATGCCTTTGATACTGGAGTAATGTAGGCTGTATTTAAGGAATTGATGCAAGGGTGCTTTTGTTTCCCCACCCCCCTCTTATTTTAGACTTAACTTTATTTTGATAATCAAGACAGGATACAAGCAAATTACTCAATATACATCAGGAATCAAAAGAAATGATGGTGCTTTTGTTTTCTGCTAATAATCTTATGATATTCTCAAATGTATTTGTTTTATATATTGATTTATTTTTATGGGTAAATGTCATAAAGAGAGGCAGGAAGGGACAAAATGAAGTCAAAGCTGTTGCTATTAACACTTAGCTCCAAATTCCTCTTTTTTTATGTGTGAGAGAAAGTGGGCACTGGTTTTTATTCCCCTGATGCATGCTTCCCTGTGCCAAGGCAAATGAGTCTGAAGAGGTTGGGGACAGTTTGATGATGGATAGATTTTAAGACACAACAGAAGGCAAAGTCTGGATCACAGAGGCAAACCCACACACAGATAAAACTTCTTTGGGGTTGAAAAGGCCATTTGCAGTGGAGCACTCGGTTTTAAATAATAAGCCCTGCAGAACTGATCTGGACTCTGTTTGTGCAATCTGTGTTTCAAATCCTGTGACTGTCATTCAGAAGATTTAGAGTCTCAATGTGGCTCCAGCTCATAACATCCAGCCAGAGAGTTCTGGAGGAAAAATCAGAGGAATATGGATTAAAATAAAATGCAAGATCAACATGCTGAGGGGTCAGAAATACTTCTTCCCTCATTGGTTCCCTCGAAGCACCTTTTTTCATAACACCCCAAACAGAGGACACAGTTCAATCACAGAAATATTACTTCTAAACTTTTTTAAACTATATCTTCCATTTTGAAAAATGAAAAAAGTGGTTAAGACCAAAAAATTCAAAGGGAAGTTTAGAGGAAAGTGAGTTGTACACACAGATGAGGCAGAAGTTTTCTCTTTTACTCAGAAAAGCCCAGGAGAGAGAGCTGGGTCTATTTAGGGAACAATAGAAAACTGTATGAAAAAGTGCTTTAACAGTAAAAGAATCAGAATCTGTTGTTTTTCCTGATGAAGTCATGGGGAGAGGTAACTTAGTCACTGCTGATATTTTCAGTTTGGGGTCCGTCTGTGGGCCCCTGAGGGCGTGGAGTTATTCTCAGTCACTCTGCACCCGGCCTGAGTTTGTATGGCACATTGTCAACACTGAACACACTCACAGGTTCACCAGTAAAGTGTACACAAATGTAAACAATATACACAGATATGGCAGATATTTGTGTATTACTCTGCCTTTTTAGAGGAAAAAAGCTATTTTTCTGAATTTTTTTTAGGTGTGTGTCAGATTACATTAATTTGTTTTAATATTTCCCTCTTTTTATTTTTAATCTTGCCAACACTTGGGACTCATCTGTTGAAAACACAGTGACCTTTTAAAGTGATTATTAGGTGATTATTCCCTTTATGGACACATTTTTTTTCTAGTTGCTCTGGAAACATGGAAACAAATCGTTGTGTTGTGTTAAGTCAGTAAACTCTTACATGGTCAGGCTTAGAATTAATTCATTTTATAAAGGAACTCATTAAATAAATGTAAATAAATGATGTTCATTTTCAAATCCAATGTCGCATTTCTCATATACATTTCTCTGACCTAATCATAAGCAGCAACTCTAAAAAATCAGCATGAATTGTGGTATAGAAGTGTTTGTGTTATCCACTCGATTATCTCCCGACTCATCAGACCTGTTGTCTGAACCCCCATGTGCGTCTCGCTCTGAGCTTTTTGAACCTCCGTGTTGATAAATGGTGGCAGCAGAATCTCATCGGCACACTCTCTCCTTTGAATCTTTAGTGTTATCGCTCCGTTTCAGAAAGCATGCAGCCCAAAAAGGGGCATCAGAAACCACAGCAACCTGGTCCAGTCTTCTCTTTTTTCCCCATTTTCCGTTGTTTGTTCGTTTCCCCTCCACACTGTGTGATAGTGTATCTGAGATATTCTGGGAATCTCAGTGGAACCTTGCAGGGACACGTCAAGAAAACACAACTAAAGCAGAATAGAGACACAAAGGTGGAATGTGAAGGGGCAAAAAGCAGGAAAACTCTGGGACCTTGTCATCTTTTAAAGTGACGTCTCTGAGTCTGTCTCTTGGAAAATGCTTCCCACGATGTGAATCTTTGACTTGAAGCTATTTACAACTTAAGGAAAAGCTTATCGATGGATCACAAGTGGTGTCTTCAGATGGTGCAGGTCTTCAGGGAGGAGTTTTGATGGTTTTCTGACTGGATTAGAGCTCAGGTCAGATCTGCAGGGTCAGAGGTCAAACCTATTTACATGTTATAGCCATTATACTTTGTACTTACAGAAAGCAGGGCTGAAATCATCTTCGTCTCACTTGAGTCCTGGTATTTTTGTGCTACTATGCACTAAATTGTTTTTTTTTATTCAATACATTTCTGTGTAAGTTGCATAATAGTAGAGCAATGACACTGTTTACATGTCAACATAACACATGTAAAATTGGGCGTGTTTTTTAATTTATTTATTTGGATTTCTTTATTTAATAAGGCTGATAAATGCTTTTCCCGGAGGCAAAGTCCTTATACAATCTTCAGTGAGTCACCGGGCTGGTCTGTTATCCCACGTAAGGCTCTGTTTTTAAGCAGGCCTTAAAAGGTTTTCAGCTGAAAATAGAGTACAGTTTTGGTCACTGTAGCCTTCTGAGAAAAAAACAGGAAGTAAACCTTTACCCTCCATCTAACTGGAGGCCACTACGAAGGACGGCAAAGAAGAAAAAAGGGGATTTAATATTCATCTTTGGCTCATTTTTTGGCAACGTTAATCAAAGGGATGTTTGAATAATTTATCTTAGTGGCATTGAGACGAAAGTGTGATTGTTTTGACAGACAGCTGCACCTTATCTTTTTCAGCCCAGTCAGATTAATCTTTTCATCTCAGATCTGACTTAAAAAAACGACAACAAACAGACAGATAACTACGTGACACTCTCCAGGTTTTAAAACAGCTAGC